GGCTGTGATGGAGAGGAAGTTGGCTGGGATGTAGATGGAGGAGGCTGTGATGGAGATGAAGTTGGCTGGGATGTAGATGGAGGAGGCTGTGATGGAGTGGAAGTTGGCTGGGATGGGGATGGAGGTGGCTGTGATGGAGAGGAAGTTGGCTGGGATGTAGATGGAGGAGGCTGTGATGGAGATGAAGTTGGCTGGGATGTAGATGGAGGAGGCTGTGATGGAGTGGAAGTTGGCTGGGATGGGGATGGAGGTGGCTGTGATGGAGAGGAAGTTGGCTGGGATGGGGATGGAGGTGGCTGTGATGGAGATGAAGTTGGCTGGGATGTAGATGGAGGAGGCTGTGATGGAGTGGAAGTTGGCTGGGATGGGGATGGAGGTGGCTGTGATGGAGAGGAAGTTGGCTGGGATGTAGATGGAGGTGGCTGTGATGGAGATGAAGTTGGCTGGGATGTAGATGGAGGAGGCTGTGATGGAGNGAGATGAAGTTGGCTGGGATGTAGATGGAGGAGGCTGTGATGGAGATGAACTTGGCTGGAATGTAGATGGAGATGGCTGTGATGGAGATGAAGGTGGCTGGGATGGAGATGGAGGTGGCTGTGATGAAGATGGAGGTGGCTGTGATGAAGATGGAAGTGGCTGTGATGAAGATAGAGGAGGCCGTGATGAAGATGACACATAACTTGTAGAGCTGTTGCCCTGACACCACAACCACGGTGCCCAGAGTAGCAGGATCCACAAATGCAGCATTGTCCTACGAGCGTCGATGATCCTCGCACTGGGGGGGGGGATGATGAGGTATCCTGCAGTCACTGGAGACAATAGCAGAAGAAGGAAGAGGGTTTCTCATAAGTGGTGAAAGGAAACAAGCCCCAAGCTCAGCTTGCACCCAGAAGCAGACAGCCGCACCCCCGCGAAGCCCCTCTGCTGGGCAGCGAGGCGACCCCGTCCCACTGCCTTCACACACACATTGCTGCTATCCTGGATGGGGACTGGCCCCCGGCCTGATCTGGGAAAGCATGTTTCAGAACATGATATGTTTAGCATTACACTGCTAAAGCTAACTGGTAAACACATTGCGGTGGAACCCCCAGTTGCCATGGTTAAACACTCACCAGCGTCTCCTCCCTGTCAGGTCCGGTTGAGAAAGTCGGGCCGGTACCAGGCGTGAGGCTGAGGACGGCTCTGGGTCCACGGCCCAGTCCGTTGCGTTGCAGGTCCTCCGAGTCGCTTCTGTTGCAAGGAGTGAAAGCTATGTTTTATGTGACTGTCTGACGTTGTCTGTGGTCAACGTGCCAAGTACACAGTTTGACAGAAGAATCATAAAGGCCAATTCAAGGAACTCCCCTCCCCCCCTCTTGTAACAATGTTCTGTTTGATTTCCAGAAATAAAGGCGCTACATATGCAGCAAAACACTAAAACTAAAAAATACAAATCACAGCAGGTAGCACCGTATTGAATATGACTTTTTATTCTGCAATAAACTATAGTTTGAAAGTAAGAACGAAAGTGTTGAAAATCCTTACTAGCATGAAACTAAAAGCAGAACAAAAAACAGTTAAACACAGATACTGTAAAGATTGTGAGAAATAAATTATATAAAAGTCAAGCCATTTGCAAATAAAGTCATTTAGTGAGTTTTTTTTTTTACATACAGACGTTCTGTAAAACGTTGATGATGAACTACAAAACTTCAACATTATTTGCATTATTAGCATTAAATCTATCACAATTTTGTAGTATTGTGTAATATCGCTGATAACATTACGTTAAATGGCTCAGCATTTTTTTGTAGCTTTTCGTAAAGTCGATGACCTTTACTGGGCGCCTACGCGATTGTCTGAGATCCTTTCCCTCCGCTGTGGCCGCGGCCAGTGGCAGCTTTAGCTGGGGTCGTTGGCCCCAGGGCAGGACGTAGCGGCAGACTTGTGAAGCGCTGCAGGACTTTCCACTGTCGCTCGGCTACGAAGCGACACATTGAGACACAAATAGAAAGCCGAGGTTCTCGGAAGGCGGCGCTCAGAGAAAGAGAAAGAGATGCCCGCTGCGGAATTATAGCAGACAGGACCCCATATGCTAGGGCAACTCTAAACAGCGGTTCATAGGCTTTCTTCTGATTAAGATGGTCTCATTGTGCACTCGGAGACTTTTAGACGAAAAAGAAAACACTGTCTGCTGGTGTATGAAAATCTCTGGGTTTAAGAATGACATGAATACATTAAAAATTACATGAATTAGCTGCATTACTAGTTATTACAGTGATAGTATTTCCATAGCTAAACGGAAACTCAGGGATGTGCAGATCGGTACCAGGCACCAGGGGGCGCTCTTTGCTTAGTTAACATGCAACTCACTGTAATGAAGGCTCCTGTGACTCTGTACTGCAGGAGATGGACAGATGGAGTAAAGGTGTTGTCATGCCAGTATACTTTATTACCTCTATCTCCTGTGGGGGGGGGGGGTGGGTGCTGTTTGGCTATGGTTAGGCCTCTGTGCCTGTGATTGGAAGCACCCTTTTCTGTCTGAGAGATCTGAGTGGATTGTTTCTCTTACTCTGAATTGTTCGGTTCTACTTTTAATCTCTGGCTTTTTTTGGGGGGGCGGGAGATGGTCAGTGGGTTTGGGGTCCGTGGTCCTGTTTGGAAAGTTGGTGGTTTGAACCTTATAGCCTGCAGGGTAAGCATGTCACCGCTGATCCCTCAAGCAAAGGTCTTAACACTAAATGCTCCAGGGATATTGGCTGACGCTACATTCTAATCACTGGTACATCGCTTTGGACAATAAATACATGTAAATTAAATGTTTCTGTATAAATGTTAATTAAATTAATATACATTCACCTGGGGGAGAATCTGTAAGATACGTGAGCTGGAATCTCTCATGGTTTTTGTCTTAAACTTCTCTAGGTAACTGAGGAGTTGGAGTGGAGTGAAATATGTAATATGATCCATCCATCTTCTGTAGCTGCTTGTCCTATTAAGTGTCTGGAGCCTATGGGCACAAGGCAGGGATCAACCCAGGATGGGGCACCAACCCATCGCAGGGCAAACTCACACACCATTCACTCACACACCACTCACTCACCATTCACTCACACCTATGGGCAATTTGACAACCCCAATTAGCCTCAGCATGTTTTTGGACTGTGGGGGGAAACCAGAGGACCCGGAGGAAACCCCACAATGACACGGGGAGAACATGCAAACTCCACACACATGGAGCCATGGCAGAGACTCGAACCCAGGTTCCAGAGGTGGGAGGTAACGGTGTTAAACACTGTGCCACCCCATAATATGATTCTATGACTGTAGTATGGTTGTATAAGAGATGATGTAGCCTGTGTCAGCTAATCAGCAACTGACCGGCCCTGCAGATGCTTCCATAAACGAAACAGCAGGCATTATTACTTTTGTGGTGTTTTATTCCAAGTAAAAACAAATCCTGCTCAAGGTATAATTTGTTATTAAAGCTATAAAACTCTGTAAAAACCTGCCCCCTCCCACCCCTCCACAATCACCTATTACTTTTAAAGGCCAGCAGGTGGCAGTGTTGTTACAGAACAAATGCTCATATGCTGATGCTTCAAACCTGTGGAGGAAACAGCCGTTGTAACTTTAAGGCTTGAACATACGACTGTTAGCTGCTTCATAAATGGTTAAAGTGGTGGCTCTCGAACTTGATGTACCTCCTCAAAAAATATCAGGCTCTCTGTCTATCAACATTTAGGGCGATGTCACTAAAAGAAATACTTCCATCTACCACTAGAGGGGGCTCACATACCATAGTAGTATAAGAACCATTGAGTTAAAGATTGAAAGGTAAGAAAGATGATATTAATAATAAAGAGCATAAATAGGGCTGATATAGATTGAATGGTTTTATCCTGTGGAGGGGCAACATTATTTTGACCTTATTCTATTGCCCAGAGTCTAAATAAAGCATGAAAAAGCAGCGATTGTCTCATCAGGTACAAATTAAACAGAAGCTTTAACTGTTAGCCTGTTAGCGCATTCGTTAGCGGTGTGACGTCGTGTCAGCAGGTGGCTCTAGGGTCAGACATTCAGGATGCAGTCTGAGGAGGGGTCAGCAGGGGGAGCTGTGGGGTCAGACATTCAGGACGCAGTCTGAGGAGGGGTCAGCAGGGGGAGCTGTGGGGTCGACAGCGGCTCCTGTCTCCTGGACGTCAGCATCCACGCGAAGCGTTTTCTCCGCCGTGTTCTCGGCCTCCTCCATCATCTTCTCCCTCTCGGTCTCCATCACCTCCCTGGGCTTCCCGACCCTGATCACGTCGGCATTTACACGGGGTGGGTGGGCTGGGCAGACTGAGCTGAGCTGGTTGTGGAGCTTCCAGACCTGGCAGGCCAGCGTGATGGTGGACACCAGCAGCGCCGTACAGATCAACAGCACGATTCCCAGAGCCAGCAGCAGCCAGCCAGTGTGTGACTTACCCCCAGGGCTCAGGTTGGGGGTGGGGCTATGCTTAGGGGGAGTGGCCTTGAAGTTGGTGGTGAGAACGGAGGTGAGGTTGGTGTTGCTGATGGCGGTGGTCACGTTGAGAACGGATGAGAGGTTGGTCATGATGGTGGGGGTGGTCACATTGAGAACGGATGAGAGGTTGGTCATGATGGTGGGGGTGGTCACGTTGAGAACGGATGAGAGGTTGGTCATGATGGTGGGGGTGGTCACGTTGAGAACGGATGAGAGGTTGGTCATGCTGGTGGGGG